CTAAAATGTTATTACAATGTGAAGAGTCCAGGTGGAGGAACGGATCAGTCTCCACACAGTGACACGACTTCAGTCTCCATCTACAGTAAGTTATTAACTGTCCTCATTATTCTGTATTATGCAATTAGAAATTATGTATTAGTCTGTCATTCATATTTTCTTAATATAATTTCAGCTTAATATGGTTTTGTTTTTTGATGGTTGATGTATAAATAAGTTTGGTGTCACACATTTTTATTTCTCACATATATGTGAAAGGTCTAAATGTTTCCTCTGCCATTGCAGAAGTTCAGGAAACAGATTCGACCACATCTCAGAGAGTAACCACTGTCAGAGTGACTGCAGGTAATATCTGCTTTCTAACACCAATCACAAAACATTATTTGGGCCAGCCATAGCAATGCATAGGGAGAGCAGTGACTGACTTACTTTGCAAGTCAGTCACCTATTGTTCTACACCTCAAAATAACTGCCTCATACTAATACCATCAATGCGGCTCGTACCGCTGCGTGCCCCCTCACAATATATACATCAAAACGTGCAGCTTGATCCCGTGAGGGGAGCCATTACTTTGTCTGTTACACATTGGATTAGTGTAGCCATTTCAAATAAAGCTTACTGGAAATGTCAAAATAAAAGCCTTAATATTCCCCTCAGGGTCGTGCGCATGGAAGTGAATTAACATTAGCACAAACATTAGCATTTCCATTAGCATTTCATTAAAATGTTTAATCACTTTCTAAAGAGAAGTTCGCATACATAAGTTGGTGTGACTTGCCTACTTGGGTTGAATTGTTTGGGTTTTCATTCCTCCTGACAGAATTGATTTATGTGAGACAGATTTTAAGGAGGATTTGCTCACACACACCGTTTTGTTCCTTCAGAAACTTCAATCAAGGCTGTGTGATGTCAGATCTAAACGTTTCATCTTTCATTGCAGATGTAGAGCATAAAGACTGGACAACATGTCAGACAGCCCGATTCTTCCCTGCAACCACTGGTAGGATTTGCCTCTGAACAACAGTTTTAAAACTTATTACATCAGGATGTCACAACTTTACTTGTACAAATGTAAAAGTTATCTTTTTATCAATAGTAGGAAGACAAATTAATTTTTTGACATTTACAATAAATATTATAAAAATAAACAGTTCACATCCTAGAAAACAATACACAATAAAGACGTAGAATAACTTTTGCTGAACTTGTTTCATCTCTTCATGCAGTGATGATGATCTGGAGGTTCATCATGGTTGGAATTACATCTTTAGTCCTTTTTGGATTGACTCTAAAATGTTGTATAAGCAGAATGGGTAAGACTGAAAATACTATGTTGGGGATGCTGTTCAATTTTAAACACCTTTTTAAATGAAAGCTACATCTATATTAGCTTATTTTTTTGAAAACACACTTAAATAATAACTACATTTCTTTGGTACATTTCATTCCCAAAGAAAGTTTTACAAAAATTATATCTGCTATCTGTCTTTTTTTTCTAGAGAAATGTTTTGCAAAACGGTAGGAAATATTACTTTCTAGATATTGTTGCATAAATGTTGGCTGCTTTGTGGAGCATATTGTCTTTGAATGGACACAAGAACTCCTGTTTAAGTCCAGTAGCATTAACATTGCTAATTAATAATGGCTCCCTGCATGAAGCTTATAGGTTTTTAAGGCTTTTTACTTCTGTTATTGTAGTTGTCAAAGTTGGTATTTGCAGACTAAATTGATACAAACATGGTAGATAGATCCATCTGTATTTCGTTCACGAGGGCAGAAGATTTATGAAATCTGCCAGTCAAATCAGGAGAAATCGTCTCAGTCAGTTTGTTCAATATTGTTCAGGGAAATTACAAAAAAAAAAACAAAACAAAAAAAAAAAACACTAAACAAAAGCTCCATCAGTGACTCTACAGGTGTAATAAATATAGAAATGTATGATGACCCTGTGAGAAAAACACTAAACAAATATGGTTTGGTGCGCAATAGTGAGAAGAAAACTTCCTCTGTTGAAAGTGAATATGGCCTCACAGCTTAGGGTAGCAAAGCTGCATCTGACTGACCACAGTAAAAATGCTTGAGGTGTTAGCCAATGTGGTTTAAAAAAACAAAAAAAGACTAAACTCACGTTATTGTCAGTATATAATCTCATAGCAAATGTCAAGCCTGGTTGTGGAAAGGTGATGTTTGGGATTTTTCTGCTGCTCTTTTTGTAGACATGAGGTTGGATTCAAATCATGTTCAGACATTTTTATGTCCATTTTATCTAAAACACAACAAATTAATTCTTGTCTGCTGCCACAGATCAAAAGATAAAGATTCAGGTAAATAAAACAAAAAGTTTGCCGCTCATCAACAATAAATTGTGTTTTAATGTCTCTACCAGACAGCATTTCTATCAATGTGTGATTTTTCCTGTTGGTCATTTTCCAGAGGAGCAGATCCAGATGTCCAGTTTGAACAACAGAGACGGTTTGTTAAATATCTGCTTCTGCTAAAATAATGAATCACAGAGTTATTCTGTCTCAGTGGAGACTGTCCTCCTGCTTCCCTCAAACATCTATTAAAACATTTACAGGCAGGATGTGACGACCCTGCAGCGCTGCAGCTGTAACTCTGGTGAGCTGAGTTTGTCTCTGTGAATGAAGTGTAATGGTTACTGATTGGTAGTTTGGCCACTTGGTGGCGCTGTTCATCTGAAAACGGTTGAAATGTTTCTGTAGAAACTGACATTTGCTAAGGTATAAATAAATCACGTTTTAAATTTAAAAGTAACAATATTAAAGTTTAACAATACCAGTTTAATATGTCAGTTTGTAAAAACAAAACTGAATAAGAGTTTGAAAATGTTTGTTTTCACAGAGTGACGACTGAACAGCAGAACCTCATCCAACTGAACCACAGGAAGTCTGACTGTAAATTAAAGTCATGTATAATATTAGTTATTGTTTTATCTTGTGTAATTTGTAAATCTGTATTTTTAAATGAATGTCCCTTTGAGAATATCATAACAGCATTTTAATAACAAAGCTGGTTGAATTCACTGCATAACATAAACCATGATTTTAGATGTTTTAATAAAAAAAGAACATATGATCTGTTAAAAATGCCAGATGGAATAAGATGTAATTTGCTCAACAATAATAATACAAAATGTAAGAACCATCCTGAATAGAAGGAGAATTTAGTGACATTGCATTCAGTGTGTTACATCTTTATCTTATGAGTGTTTTTGAGGATTATATTTAGGAGCCATTTCTGCTGCTACCAGATTTGTTAAGAGAATAAATAAATTAGATTTTTTATTTTAGTTTTTGACTTGAAAAAGTAACTCAGCCTTTTAGATTACATGTTTTATTGTGTTTATATGTTTGTTCTCCATAATCCTAAGATATACTGGTCAGTGTTTTGTTAGTATTTTTTAATTATTACTTAATTTGTTGAGTTTATTCCTTGTGAGTCATGTTATCAGTTTCTAATATTTTCCTATATAAATAAGTTTTTCATTTGTTTTCATTCTGCTGTGTGTTTTATTCATGTTAGGCCTGTTAACAGGAACATCAGCGTTGAGCTTATAGAGAAACTGAACCTTTGATTACATCATCTGGTCTGATACATGTAATCAAGTAAACAACTGAGAACAACCAAAATATCTGGAAAAGATTTAGGAAATATGCTTTATTTGAATTATTTAATCTGGAGCAGAAAATCTGACTCACTTTGTGTTTGAGGCTGATGTGAAGCAGACAATATGCTATCTAAAGGCTGGGAAGAGGCGAGTACAGCAACAGATAATAAAAACATCAACATGTTACTGACAGCATCCGTCTTTACCCAGTTCAAATAGTGACTAGTTCATATAAGACTGAATCACACAAAGTAATGCAGGTAGTTTTATTGATGCATTTTCACTATTTTTAAATTTGTGATCTGAAACCTGTGTGTGAACAATGTTGAGAATAAATAATATTGAGTTTTCCTGTGTCTGTTTTATCTATTTGCATGCTTGTATACACATACATGCACACACATAGAGCACACGTGCAAAGCTAAGGTTAAAGGAAATGATATTTCAGGGAATGCCCTCTTTATGCCGCAGCTTTGATAGAAGTCAATAATGAGAACCAGTAACTGTTGTTAGGAGCCATTTTGCTCTGCTAGCTCATAAATATAGCTTAAGAAATGGACCAGCTGTATTTTGGTATTAATAAATGTAATTCATGAATTCAACTCACTGACTCTTCAACCTCAAGAACCTAATGGAGAAAGGATAATTCTCCTAACAACAGACTTAGCAGGAAATGACAATTTGAACCATGAGACTTTATGAACTGAACGTCTAAAATGATTTTACTGGGAATCCAGAACTGAAGCATTAAACTTTGATTACAAATATAAAGTGTCAGTAACGGTGAAATAAACAATACATTTTAACATGTAGTGAAATGGTCTGTGGGTTTAGTTGGTCTAAATACTAAAGAGCTATTCAGCATGTCGGTTTTGTTCCTGTGGTCAGTAGGAGGATCCTCTACTGATCATGTGGCTTTTTTTAACAGCAACTTCTGAAACCAAATTTAGGTAAATGTGACAAGAGGAAGAGATTCACTGCTTCATCATGGCTTTGCTGCTGCTGATCTTCATCCTGCTCAGTAAGTTTAGTTTATTTTTATTGTCATTATCATTTATTTATTCTTAAGTATAAAGTGTGAGTTTTTATTTATTTTCTGGTATTTTGGTAACAAACTGTTTATCATAATTTCCAGTCAGAAAAGACACAAATTTTATCTCATTTTCTACAGATTTGTCTCATGAGGAAAAAGCTGAAGGTTTGATTCAGTGAAATGTCTCTGTTTTATATAAAATATCTCCTTTATGATTTGTTAATAAAAGTTGAAACCTAAACACGTTTTGAACTTTCAGCTCTTCCTCAACCTCACCTAACGGTGGATCGACTTGTGATGAGAGAAACCGACTCAGTCACATTACGCTGTTCGGCTCCACCACATGTTTCTGTGTCTCGGTGTGATTTCTACATTGAAAACAACAAGACGTCTTCAGACGCCTCCTGTGTGAAAACACTGACAGGATCTGAGATGCTGAGGAAGTTAAACAGACGATCACCAGCTGAGGTCAAAGTTAAATGTTCCTACATTATAAAGAATGATGCTCTCGATGTCTCATCATCAGACAGTGAACCAACAACCATCACCATAAACTGTGAGTGATCTGGTTATCAAAGATTGTAGCAACATTGATTATGAACTTACTGGATATCCATCATGTATGTAAATTTTACCTGTTTGTTTCTGCTTTTCTTTACTCTTATTTTCAGATCTTCCTCCTCCGTCACTGACAGTGAATCCTCTGGTGATCACAGAGTCAGACTCAGTCATGTTAAACTGTCAGCCTCCACCATCTTTTCCTGTGACTGATTGTTATTTCAACTTTGGGAGAGAAAAAATGGCCCAAAAACATCCTTGTCTGAAGACGATGACAGGAGTTGATCTTCTGTCTTCAACCAAACAAAGTTCACCAGCTAACATTGATGTAACATGTTTTTACCTGAATTTATATCAATCTCCAAAGAGTAACCTGCTCACCATCATCATACAGCGTGAGTAAAAACAGCTGTGATGAACTATTACAGATTATTATGATGTTAAACTATTTAATCTTGTTTATGTTTTCAGTTCCTCCACCTGAACTGACTGTGAATCCACAGCAGATCACAGAGACAGACTCAGTCACAGTGAACTGTGGGACTCCTTCATCTGTTTCTGTGGAGAATTGTTTTTTATATTTCATAAAATCAAAGATATCCAAAAGCATTTCCTGTGAGCAGACACTGACAGGAAGTGAGCTCCTGATGATGACATTTCAAACTTCACCTGCTGAGGTTGAACTAAAATGTTATTACAATGTGAAGAGTCCAGGTGGAGGAACGCATCAGTCTCCACACAGTGACACGACTTCAGTCTCCATCCAGAGTGAGTTAAAAACTGTTCCTCTTCTTTGTTCTCTAAATATAAAACATATCCATGTCTGTCAGTTTTCTTCATATATTTTCATCTTCATATAGTTTCATCTTTGACATATTAAGTAGTTTGGTATCACATGTTTATATTTATTACATACATGTGAAAGTCTTTAAATGCTCATTATTCTCTATAATTACAGAAGTTCAGGAAACAGATTCAACCACATCTCAGAGAGTAACCACTGTCAGAGTGACTGCAGGTAATATATGCTTTCTAACACAAAGACCAGACATTATTAAACACATATAATTGTATTTTCTAGCTGCCTTGTCTTTATCCATCAGGTGAAACATTTAGGACAACAGTGAAAGCAGAAAGTCCATCTTCTCCTCCCCCATCATCATTGAATCCTACATTATTTGCTCCTACAGGTCAGTCAAAACTTCTGAAACATCGTCAGCTTCAGCCTTTGAACATGAAATTTATGAAAAATGTTTTGTTTTTCTTTATTTTCCTCAGATCCAAGTGAAAGAACAACAGTCAACACTGTAGGCTCAGTTTCTACTTTATCAACATCAAAGACACCAGGTCAGTTCATCCATTTAGATCATGTTATGAAAATGTTTAATGATTCTGATACTTTTTTCGGTAACACTTTATTTGAAGGGGGTTGAATAAGGCTGACATAACACCTGTCATGAACATGAATAAGCCTTCATGAATATTTATGACTGTTGTCATAAAGCTTCATTCGGTTAATTATGATACTTTTAATACAAAGTTGACATTATTCAAAATGTCTTTATGACAACTTGACATTAACCAATAAATCATTACTGTTTAAACTTTACCTTTAATAACATAAAGTTACCTAATTTTTAAAGTGCAATCAGTAATACTTTTATAACAAATTTATAACAGTAATGATTTCTTGGTTAATGTCAAGTTGTCATAACAAAGACATTTTGAATAATGTCAACTTCATATTAAGTGTCATAATTTACCGAATGACGCTTTATGACAACAGTCATAAATATTCATGAAGGCTTATTGGTGTACATGACAGGTGTTATGTCATGTTTATGACAGTGTCATGTCAGTCTTATTCAACCTCCTTCAAATAAAGTGTTACCCTATTTTTTTTTTTTTTCCAGAATAATGAAGAAGTATATCACTTAGAAAGTCGGAGGTTTTCTTGCATTAGTACTTGATAGAACTGAACTTACACTAATTTAGTTTTGAGAAACATTATTGGTTTCCTTCCACAAACTTCCTACAATAGGTTATTGTAATTTTGGCCTGTTCCTCCTAACTATCTAATCTCTTTGCAAAAGCAATTACATGCAAGCTAAATGAGGGAAATAATTATTTTATATGATTTTTAACTCTAGCAAATGGCAAAGAATTGCTGTTGAGTTAGATTAGTGTCAGATTACTTGATTCCTGGCCACTAAATGCAATAAAATGTTGTGTATTATTTTTCTTTCCTATTTTATGACACAAAATCATACAGGATTCCTTCTATTTTCAGCAAGACATCAGTGTTATATTTAACTTAGGAAATTTTGCTTAATGCACATGCAGAGCAACATTTTGAATGCAAGATCAGTATGTTTCTAACAATAACTTCTTTCTATAAATTATGCTTTCCATAGTTTGAACTACCTCAGGTTGCTATGACATCTTTTACTTTGTGCTTCCAGATGAAGCTTGTTGTACTAAGATGTCGTGTCTGTAATGTTTTGTTTTGACCATTAAGGAAGTGAGACTTGACTCAGTGTGGTTTTTGTTTCCCCAGCAGCAGATCAGAAACCTTCTGACAAAACTAAATGGATGTATGTGGCTGTACCTGGTTTTGGAGTAGTTGTGGGAGTCGCTTTACTTGTGGGACTTCTCTGTTCCAGATGGAGAAGTGGTGAGTAGAGACGCCTGTGAACATGTCGTGTTTCTGTGGCTTTAAACTTCCCATCCATTTTGACACCTTACATCATTCAGTTTCATATCTGACATTCATGCAGTTTCTACCCGTCATGGACATAAATGTCATATTAGTTCAAAATGCTTATAAAGAATTATATGTCAAACAACAAATTTGACAGCCTAAGCTTTAGTTTTTTGTGGATTTTATCTAAAGGTCAAAACTATACATGCTGTTACACTTTAGCCCTGGCCAAGATGTAGGATTGTTTCTTGATGCATGTTTGATTCTTTTTTATCAAATAGTAGAGGTAATTGAAATTGGTTGATTGTTGTGGCGCTTACCTAAAGCCTAATGTTCCCCTGACAGCAGTTTTGATGTGTTGATTAGTGAAGAAGTTTATGAATTTGGTGCTTTTTTTCCCCTCCATTTCAGTTATGCATCCACTTTAACACAATAACGCCTCTATCATGTTAGTTGGCATGGAGAGCTCAGGCCTGGAAGCCTAACCTTAACGTCTCCAGAAATACTTCTGGTCAATATGGCCACAAAACTCACTACTCATCTAATCAGAAAACTTTTTCTCCAGAGAGTATTTGGTTTGTCACAGCTGCACATCTCAGTTGAGCTTTCAGTTTTGGAGCAGAGGGAGGCTTCCTGGTTCATGCCCTTTAAGTGAAAAGCTCTTGAAAGCTGTCTTTGCCATGGCCAGAGATGGTCTTTGTGGTCACGAGTTTTTAGCTAAAAAGTCAAAGTTTTTAGTGTTTTTTTTATTGTTTCTGATGGACTCATTTGCTTTCATTAGAGAGGGAAAATTTGGTCCAGAAACATCAACACACGTTGGTGTTTTAATAAGACAACAATTCAGCCAAACTGTTTTTGAAGGTTTAAGAATAATCCTGCTGAGGCCTTCATCTTACTGATGATGTGTTTCTATGTTTGAAAACAATCTTGAAACCAACAAGTTTAAATTACTTGGCTGACAGTAATTTCCAGCCAAATTCATCACCCTGTTCATCCTTATACTTTTGAATAATAACTATTTTGAGTCTTTTCTTAAAGTACCTCCTGCTTGGACTTTGCTTCGGCTCTTTAGTCAGTTTATTCCAAATCTTCACTCCAGTGACAGAAATGCACATTATTTTCATTGTTGTTTGAACATTCAAAGTTCTGAAGTTGATTCATATCCCCCCACTCTATCAGTGAATTTTTGAATATTTTCTGGTAATAGTTTGTTTCTAACTTTATACATAAACTATGCAGTTTGAAACTCTACCAAATCTGTGAGTTTCAGGAAATAAGAATCTATAAATAAAGTGTTCAGAGAGAATTTCTGAGAAAGTTAGTAAAGGCTAGGCTACAAACTGTGTGGTTAAGGTACAAATATCAGTTCATGTTCATGTTTATATTTAAACTGCTATGTAAAATTTTGACCTCTATATGTACAATATGTGTAAATGTTTGCATATCTTGATTTTATAATTCACTGAATTATAAAATCTGAACCTGGAAAAAAGCAGTTAAAAAAAGTTAAAAACACTAAAATATATGACATCCATGTAAATATATGGCATCCATGATGATACGAATTTGTGATTATAGCATCCAGGTGATTGAGATCAATGTCAGATTTTACATTTTTTGTTTAATTCTTTCCAATATTACATTTCATTTTTATATGCTTTAAAATAATGCTGCAACATTTTGATAAAGTAATAGTTCAGGTCATGTCAATTTGTTTAGATTTTTTATTTTCGCTCGAGAGTAAAAACACATCATAAAAGTACTTCTCTTCACACATATCATGTGCTGACTGTGTTTTCAATTCCTCTTTTCATTTTCACTTTTTATCAGGTAAAAGAACTTACACGAGGTAAGGTGTTTTTTTCTTATTTTAACTGGAATCAGGTTGATGTGTTTGCTCTGATCTGTTAGATAAAAAGGTTTATCTTATTTGATTAAGATTTAGCTGCTCACTTCATGGAGCTTTATTGTTGTATTTAATCATGACATAAATTAGTGATGTAATATTTCCACTGTGGATTTTGGTCAGGATGAAAACTATTTAATAGGGCAACTATTTATATATTTAAAAAGTGTGATTACACAGTTGCAATATGTTATAAGTTGTCCAAAATATTCATTTGTTTTATCACGTCATCTTGATTTCTATTCCAGATCACGAGTCGGCTTTAATGGTAATGTAAACATCCATTAATCTGGATTTGCAACATGTGTTTACATACTCTGCATTTATAGTTTACATGCTTTTTTCATTTTCGTTCCAGATAACTTTATAGGAATGAGGAATGTTACAAATGGAGGACTGGTAACTTTTTTGTAAAATGCGTACATCACACAGTCTAAGGAAAAAGAGAAAGTAATTTATTTTAACTCCATAATCTCTCTTTCCATTTGCTTATATAAAAGTTACCTGTTGGGGATGAAGATGACTACCACAGAGTCACCTCCGTTCCTGCAGACGACTCTGCAACCGGTGAGCTGCTTGTTATTCTACAGACAATCTATAATTTGATGTTCAGTTTGTTATTACCTTTTGGAAGAAAAAACTCAGACATTACCATTGTTTGATTAAATTGTAGTTGCAAAATTGGGATTTAACATGCAAAAGTTGATTGTGACATTGCATTGTTCATTTAATTATTTTGCACATCATCAGGCATCCGGCACATAACAATCAAAGTACCTAAAAAGCAGAAATCAGACGTGTTTTAAACTGAGAAATGATGTGAATATATAAGACAACATAAATAATGTACTTAATTTGATCATGTTTTTCCAGAATCTGTTGCGATAAACACACAGAACTCTCAAAATGAAACCGTAAGTAAGATGTGAACAGAAGTGAACATGTTTATTCTAGAAACAAAGAATGTAAAAATAATAAATTATGTTTATTTTCTTCTTGAACAAGCAGAATGTTTACCACCTTTACGCCACCATCCCTGATGAACCAGAAGAACCTGCTGTACAGAAGCAGCTGTACTACACCCTGCAAGCTCACTGAAAAACAGCTTTTGTTTAAAGATGCGTTAAAAATATCCGCTAAATGTACAGCTATAGATTATGTGTTTATAGGTATTATTATCATATCATTACTGTCTTTCCTCTCCTTTCTGGATTATATTTACTCATTACGCAGTGTTGTGAACAAGTGTTTAATCCGTTCTTCAGCTGTTTTCCATATGTGACCAAATTAAATGTTTAAAAATCTTTATATATTTTTTATTTTTATTTTGTGGGAGTATGTCTATGTCAGTCTTACACATCTGGAGATCAAAGGTTCCCATCAAGATTAAATTAAGAATATCTGGGAACATAAAATTATTCCAAAGAATCTCATGTAAGTCTGAACTTTAACTAGGACATTTTAAACAGCAACTCCATTGCAGTTCTGCTTGTGTGGTTTTGGTTGTCCAGTATCAAGCCTCTTACCCTTTTCTTCCAGTGTTGTTTTGTATTTGGCGCCATAAGAAGCAGCTTCCCTCTTCTTCATAAAACCCTCAGCCTGATGCTGCCTCCTCCATGTTTCATTTTGTTGGTTTTCGGGGTCATGTGCAATGTTTGTTTTATGTGAAACGGTTCCTTTTGTTCTCATCCAACTAACGTAGATTTTTTACCAGCATCACATTTTATTTAGGGGTATCTTCATGTGTTTTGTTAAGTGTGAACGTATGTATCATTGTCCTTTCACTTTGCAAACATGAGCCACTTTGTTATGGTTGAAATATATGGAAACAGATTTGTGCCAGTAATACCACACAAAATGTTTTACTTCTGAAATGCTTCTTTTGTTTCATTAATTTTAGTTTTTATCCTGTCAGACTTAAAGTCAACCACTTTGTTGGTATAGTAACTTATTGTCCTTTTCGTGATATACTAAAAATGAATTGCTAAATGTTTTTGACGGGTTTTAAGACGATGGTTTTTAAGACAAACTTTTAAAGCTCGTCTTAAAACCCATCCATTTTGTTTTTAAACTGTAAGAGTTGTTTTTTAATTGTTATGTTGTGTTTTAATGTACAGCACTTTGTATCAGCTGTGGTTGTTTTAAAGTGCTTTGTAAATAAAATTGGTTTGGTTTGGTTTTGGTTTGAAACTGAATGTTAATTTTCTCTCCACTTCAATATGTTGAAGTTCAGGGAGAAGTTTTTCTTATGTTTTCAACTTTGCCATTTTTTTTTCATATTGGACTCGCCATGTGGAGTCAAATATCAGTCAAACATGATGTACTGCTACACTTAAATAATCTATGTTGCCTCTAAATTATGTTTTACATAATTGAATGTAATAAACAATCATTTAGCCCATGAAAGATCCTAATTTTGATTGAATAAAATGTGAGATAACCATCAACAAATGACATTTTGCTCTGTATCATAACTTATATCATAACAAATATTATCTGAAATTATCATATTCAGTGTCAGAAAAGTGGAAAGTAAAACTTAACCCACCACCAATATACCGACTAAACTAAGTTACATAGTTTTGCCAGAGGGTGGCAGTGTTGGTGACTTTGGTGGTTCTTATTCACTTGAAGAAGGAAAAAAGAGAATCATGAGAGAGAGAGAGAGAGAGAGAAAAAGAGAGAGAG